TTTGTAGTCTTTGACAACATTGTAATTTGTTCAAAGCTGAAACTATTCGTTTCCACATTTTGAAACGAATTTGTTTTGTTGCCTTTTTTAAAAAGTTTAAAACCGATGAAAACAATGAAAGACCAATAAAAATCCAAATATTTTTAAAGTCTGTCTGCATTGTTCTATAAACGAATATAACGCCACCTCGTAACAGAGAGACCATAATAAAACTACGACCTGGATGAACAACTTCGGAACTTCTTCTCAACGCCATATGCCTACACAGTGCAGTAGGAATAAACGCTACCAGAGGTGAGGAGGTTGCAATCAGGAATTTATATAAATTTTGACGAACTCTATTAAACCCAGGGATAATTGCATAGGTGTAGAGATAAGAAAATAAAGTACAAAAAGTCAATTCCACAAGAACAAGCGCCGCAATGTGACAATTGGAATAAGGGATGAATGGTTTACCAATACGGATGTTGTTAAGAATCACGAACGTGTAGCATAATGACGAAACACAAAATAACACACTTGTAGGATATCTGTAGAAACTATGTGAATAGTAAACATTGAATTGAAATGAAATCAAGTGATAAATTATGACCAACTCTCCGAATATGACACCAACATAAACCGCGGATAAAAATTTTTCTTTAAATTCTTTCCATCCAAATAATATCATCATTATAAATGGAAACCATAAATATATCACGATCGCCTCCACGCAGACACCAAAGACGTGAGCACGTTTTACAGATAACGGTAATGTCTTGTTGTTGTTATGATTCTTCCATTCCAGACAACTATAGGCGGTATTCATTGCCACGTAAACAAGCGTTATACAAAATGCAACAGGAATGATGGAGGCCACAATGATATTTAAATTTGTCCACAAACATTTCCATAATGTCTTCCAAACTTTTCCACTTTCTTTCAAATTATCATCATAGCATGTTGTATTCTGGCTTGAAAAATTGACGACAAGATCTTCTCTTGATAATTCATCATTATAATTATCGTCGTCAAACTCTTTGTTTATATAATTTTCTTGTGCGTCATTCTCAGATTCTCTGTGCTCGAAATTTGTATAATCGGATAAAGTTTCGTTGCGAGAACTCACTTTGGGTATGTCCGCGGCAAAAAGCGAACAAATCGACAAGGCAAGTCCGATTATCTCCTCCAGCATTTTTATTTATTTTAACCGGTGAACAATGAAAACGACGAATAATAAATATTCCCCTTTGTACTCATGAATGATCATCGTGTTAATAAAGACAATTATTTATATTAATGCAAATAGAAAGGGTTATCGGCATGGCTGAAATTTTTTATGTTTCAAACTTCATGGTAAGCGGCAAAGCTCTCACAAATCTCCTTCAAATAAAAGGAGATGAGTAGGACTTGAGCCCCTCTTCAGGCTCTTCTACTTCCAAAGTTGACATTTTGGCGCTGGCATTGTTCCAAATAATTTGACTACTTATACAGTAAAAACCCACATGATAATTACGATTTAATTTCTTTACCTTCGTGGATTCTTTCTTCGGGTAAATTCAGTTCTGTAGCACTGCTTGATATCATGGAAAATGAAACCTAATATATAAAACACAATTTATTAACTTAACGAAAAAATTCAGGTAGACAGTAAGTAAAAATTTATTCATGCATTTCAAACATGCTATTCTAAAATTATCAACGCCAGCTATTGTAGAATATCAGAACAATACAAAATACATAATGTGAGTTAAAAGTTTGACATATAATAAACAAACAATAGTCTGACAGATACTAAGACATATGATACATCATTGTGTAACATTTGAATGAATGAAAGAATCAAATAAAATATTTCTAGATTCATTCACTTCTATGCATTTAAAGACAACGATTCTAGTCTTGCTCATCGATTTTTAATATCATTGCGTAACATTAGATTAAATACAAAAGTAATTTAATAAGTCATGACTCAACAATTATTCCATAGCAAGCAATTTACAACACTGTCACACGGAACTAATTCTTTGTTCATGTAATAATTTTAGATAACACTAAGTCTTTCTCTCAAAGACGTAAAAAGATGAGTTTTACTTTCAAATAACTTGAAAACAAATAGTTTCTATAACATATTAACAAAGAATACGACACGACAGGGATATAAATGACAATAATGGTCAAATTTTAACTACAGTGACCACCGATGAAGATCTTCATATTACAACAAAATTTGCAAAATGATGTTGTCGACGTCAAAACTTTGAATCTGATATGAAATGAAGTAGGCCTGACTAAAAACAAGGGTGTTGTAATCAAAAAGTATATCTTGAATTTCTAAGTCAGCTCTTAACCCTGTGCAGTATTCCATGGTAAAACTTGTAGTCCTTGAAAACAACGTAAATTGTTTAAAGCCAAAATTATTCGTTTCCACATTTTGAGAGCGAATTTGTTGGTTGCTCTTTTCAAGAAATTAAAAACCAACGAAAACAATGACAGACCATTGAAAAGCCAAATATTTTTTAAGTTTGTCTGCATCGTTCTATAAAGGAATAAAAAGCTACCTCGGATCATAGAGACCATAATAAAACTACGACCTGGATGAACGACCTCAGAACTTCTTCCCAACGCCATATGCCCACACAGCACTGTAGGAATAAGCGCTATTAGTGGTGAAGAGGTTGAAATTAGGAATTTAAATCAATTTTGTCGATCTCAAATGAACCCAGGGATAATTAAAAACGTGTATAAATATGCCAATAAGTACCAAAGGTAATTTCCATAAGTATTAGCGCTGTAATGTGACAGTTGGAATAAGAAACGAAAGGTTGCCTAGTTCGAATGTTGTGAAGTATCACAAAAGTGCAACATAATAACGAGACACAAAATAAGACCATATGTGGGTATTGGTAGAAGTTATAATTAGGACGAAAAACATTGAATTGAAATATAATCAAGTGATAAACGACGACCAACTGGCAAAATGTGACATCAATATAAAGCGTTGATGAGTACTTTGATTTAAACTCTTTCCATCCAAATAATATCATTATTGTCAATGGAAACCTTATAAAAATCACTATCGTCTGCACGCATTCACCAAAGACATGAGCACGTTTTACAGATAACGGTAATGTGTTGTTGTGATTCTGCCATTCCAGACAGCTGTAGGTGGTGTTCATTGATACGTAAAAAATCGCTATGCAAAATGCAATTGGAATTATAATACTCAAAATTACATTTAAATTCATCCACAAACATTTCCAAAACGAGTTCCAAAGTTCTCTTCTGTTTCGACTATTATCATAGCTTGTTAGATAAGGCCTTGAGCTATCGTAGAAATAATGTTCGCTTGATATTTCATAATTGTCGTCGTCGTATTCTTTGTTGATATAAGTTACACGAGCATCTCTGAATTCGAAATTCGTATTTTCGGGTGAAGTCTCGATGTTAGATCTCACTCTTGGTACATCTGCAGCAAAAAGTGAACAAATAGATAAGGAAATACCGACTATCTCCTCCAGTATTTTTGCTATGTTCAACCAACCACTACATGGAAATTATGAGGAATGAATCGACTGAGCGTAGATCAGCAATACGATGAAGTACAGTTTCTTTGCAGATTTAAAAAACCCTAACGATTCAACACCAACACACACATGGTTGTTCCAATATATCAAAGACATTATTAATAATACACAGGGATTATGAAAAGGAAAAAAGCATTACATGAAGATATAGTGAAATTCAAAATGAGCGTGAGAAATTGCAAATCAACGTAGGCAGTTCAGTAAATAATTCATCTAACTGACAAATTAATGAATTGTAATTAGAGAATATTAAACTTCCCACTCAATCCTAATTCACCTCTGCCATTAGTTGCTCATTGCACAGTTTAATAAAAAGGGACAAATGCATCGACAACACTTCCTCTGCAGCTCGGCAAATGATGATAAATACAATAAATATAGCATCTTTCTTAAAGTATTTGAATTACCAGTTGAGTAATAAGGAACGGATGGGAGGTTTGTTGTTGGAGGCAAAGGCGCAAATATGCTTTGAAAAGTGGCTGGGCTAGATATCTCAGGGTGTAATAATAGTTTTTTT